GGAAGGAAGGATCACTTGAGGTATGCTCTGGACTCGCCCCCAGCCCCCAGGGGGAGCCACCCTTAATGCTCGAGGTGAAGCTGGCTTGATTCCCTCCACACCACCCCACCAATGTCTCCAGAGATCACCTCCCAAATAAACTACCTGCACTCAAATTCTTGTCTTAGATCTGCTTCTCATAGTTAAGTTAAAATGCATTCTTATCTATTCAGTGGTCAAAAGGAACCGTTGACACAAAAATCAGCATGGGGAATCTTAAACGTGTATTGCTAAGTGAAAGGAGTCAATCCGAGAAGGCTATATATAATAGGATCCCATTTATTTGACATTCTGGAAAAGGTAAGACTATAGAGACAAATCAGTGGCAGCCAGGAATTTGCAGGAGGGTGGGAGTTGACTAGGTGAAGCACAGGACATTTTTTAGAGCCGTGAAACTATTCTGTATGGTACTGTAGGGATGAATAATAATACTACCCATTTGTCAAACCTATAGGACTCCGTGGCACAGAGTGAACCTTAATGTATGCAAACTTGAAAAAAAAAATGACCCAGAGGGCAGGGGATCCCAGAATGGAATGCAGAATGTGACAAATGAATATACCTATTACAAATGTGTGGTATAATTTCACTGAAGTGGCGGCGGGGGGAAGAGAGAGGCTGACCTAAGTAACTTCGGAAATGACTAGAAATGATAAGCCTAAAGACAAAAAGAACTGTACATAAGCATTGGGCTCTAGGTGACGAAGTCGTTAACCATGGAGGGACAGGTTAATTATTCTGAAACCATTCTACACATATACTGGAATTGAACAAACTAGTAAATGAAGGGCAGCCAGTGGGAACCAAATCGCTTTTGGAATAGAAGGTTATAGACAAGCTTGGGGGAAATGCTACAATGAACCATGTGTTCATTGACCTTGAATTAAAGTCAACTCATATTTAGCTTAATACGGACACTGACATAGAAATAACTATATATGTGTGTGTATGCACAGGTTAGCTACTTCTGTATATAGTTCCTCGTTATGCTCACTGAGTCTAAAGGCAATGGCACCCAGTATCAATGAGCACACCTGGCTCAGATCTTGTTTTTCTAAATACCATTTTCCAATAAAAGGAAGCAGGGCTCATTATGGAAATGGGTGATTCTAGGGATATGGCACTGAGTCTATAGACTGAACCTGGAGCATCTTGTAGTGCCCAAAAGTGAGGAAGTGCTCAACAGACAAAACCACAGGTGTATATACATCAAAAGGACACAGGAACCATCTGAAAGAGTTCTCAATGGCCAAAGGTGGAACAATTTGAGCAACAAATAAATTTCATAGTACTGGATTATAATCCAAGGTATAAATATTTCCAATATTTCCAGGGGCACCTGGGTGGCTCAGTGGGTTAAGCATCTGACTCTTGATTTTGGCTCAGGTCAAGATCTCAGGGTCGTGAGGTCAGGCCCTGTGGCAGGCTCTGCACTGGGTGTGGAGCCTGCTTAAAATTCTCCCCACCCCCTGCCCCGTCTCAAAAAAATTAAAATAAAATAAAATAAAATAAAAGTCCACGAGTCCACACTAATGTAAATAAATGATTGAATAAATAGATATATGGAGGATGGGAGAGACAAATCTCTCAAACAGAAAAATTCCCAATAATATATGTAGATACTCCTTCCTCAAGGAGATGGGGCATAATCCCTACCCCTTGATATGGTCTTTACACAGTGACTTCCTTCCAAAGAGTACACTAAGGAAAGTGGAGAGAGAGTAATTTTATAGCAGAGGAACCTGACAATCACTACCTTAGCCAGGCAATCAAGGTCAACATCATCTGTGAAAAGTCAGGCTGATAACACTTTGAAATATTATCCCTTGATATGCTTAATTAATAATAAAGTGATTAAAATGGTACTTTACCGGGGCGCCTAGGTGGCTCAGTCGGTTAAGCGTATGCCTTTGGCTCAGGTCATGATCCCAGGGTCCCGGGATCGAGCCCCACATCGGGCTACCTGCTCGGCGGAGAGCCTGCTTCTCCTTCTCCCTCTGTCTGCCGCTTTGCCTACTTACACTCTCTCTCTCTCTCTCTCTTTCTGTTAAATAAATAAATAAAAATCTTTAAAAAAAAAATGGTACTTTACCTCTGTGGTCTTCCTCCCCAAAACACATAACCCTGGTCTGAGAAAAACGCCAGACAAACCCCCAATTGAGGGACATTGTCCAAAATACCTGACCAGTACTCCCCCAAACCGTCCAAGGTCATAAAAAAAAGAAAGTCTGAGAAACCATCACAGCCCAGAGGAGCCCAAGGAGACATGACAACTAAATGCAATGTGGGATCCTGGAAGAGAAAAGGACACAGGCGAAAGTCATTGAGAAAGTCAATGAAATCTGAATCAAGTATGGCCTTTAGTTAATAATAACATATCAGTATTTGTTTTTAGTTGTGACAAAGGTAATGTGAGATGTTAATAAGGAAAACTTGATGTGGGGTATATGAGAACTCTCTGCATGACCTTCTCATGTTTCTTGTAGATATAAATCTATTCTAAAATTAAAAAGTTACATAAAACTGCATTTTCATGCTACAACACTGTCTTCCCTCCTAGAATAAAAATTAGAAGGTATATAAGAGGTAAAGATGCAGAGAACTGGGACACCTGGGTGGTTCAGTTGGTTAAGCATCTGCCTTCGGCTCAGGTCATGATCCCAGGATCCTGGGATGGAGCCCTGCATCGGGCTCCCTGCTCAGTGGGGAGCCTGCTTCTCCCTCCCCTCCCCGCACAGGCTCTCTCTCACTGTCTCTGTCACTATCTCTGTCTGTCTCTCTCTCTCAAATAAATAAAATCTTTGAAAAAAAAATACAGAGAACCCTCTCCTGCTTCAGTTTTTACTGATTAGTTAGAGAACTTGTGATTAATAGAGATTCTTTTACTTCCAAATCTCACATTGGAAATATGATTTCTAGCAGAGTTCTTACAAAATAACACAAAATGTCCTATTTTATATCTTACAGTTTTGTAGTGTTGATTCATACTAAATTTCCTCACTTCCTGTCACCTATCCATTATGATAAATAACCAAAAGAGTCTGAATCTTTATAGGGAAAATGTTTTTATTATTCCATAGTAAATCGGTGGTTACTTTGATACATGCAATATATAAAAAAATTAAGGCTCTGGGGCACTTGGGTGGCTCAATTGGTTAAGTATCTAACTCTTGATTTCAGCTCAGGTCATGGTCTTAGGGTTGTGAGATTGAGCCCTGCATCAGGCTCTGCTGGGTGTGGAGCCTGCTTAAGACTCTCTCCTTTTCCCTTCGCACTTCACTACACTCTCTAAAAAAAAAGAAAGGAAGGAAGGAAGGAAGGAAAAAAAAATTAAAGCTCTAAGTGTCTATCCGTGATTCTTTTTCTGTCTGAGATGGCTAACTTTTCAATAAGTTAGCCAAAAGAATGACTTATAGACTGACTTCACTTTAAATTATTGGGATTCTCATTGAATTAAATCTGAAAAGTTTTAGCACTATTATTTTTATGGGTTTTATTTTATTATCATTTGGGACTATGGTGGAGGCAGTCTTAGAACCAGAAACTAGGAAGTTTATAAACAAATATACCATGAGAAGTGAAAATCATAGAAGACAAAATTGATGGATTTAACTACACAAAAATGGAAGCATTTGTATGTTGCTCCAAAAAATATCATGAACAAAATTAAAAGACAAACTGAGAAAGACTATGATAATAACTGGCAAAATGTTAAGGGAATGAATGTATATGGAGCTGCTTCCCCTTTAAGAACTATCAAGCGAGTGATACCACAGTTTGCAAAAGAAGAAGGATAAATTGATGAAAAAATGTACCCAAATTCAACTTAATAAGGAAATGCAAATTAAGATACTAATCACATAACTTTCTTTGTCCATCCAATTGTACTTTCATACCTTGCTGGTATTACAGATTGGAAGAGAAGTCTTTAAAATGTCTACCAATTGATCTAGGGATTCCATTTCTAGAATTTTATTCTAAGAAAATAATTAAGAATATACAAAGGCATTTATCCATAAATGTTTATTTTTATATTGCTTATTTATAACAGCAAATAATAAAAACCTTTATGTCCATCGATAGGAAATTGTTTAAATAAATTATAGTTTGTCCATTCAAAGGAACATTAATCAGTCATTGAAAATGATTATGTAGGTCAGGGATCAGCCATTTGTGTTCATTGGCCGGTTGCCTGGTTTTGTAAATAAAGTTTTATTAGGACACAGCCATGCCCATTTGTATGGCTGCATATTAGTTTGCTAGGGCCGTCATACCACTGACTGGGTGGCTTAAACCACAGAAATGTATTGTCTCACTGTTCTGGAGGTTAATAATCCAAAATCGAGGTGTCCAAAGGGTATGTTTTTTTCTGAACACTGTGAGGAAAAGATCTGTTCCAGGCCGCTCCCCTTGCTTTCTAGATGGCCTTCTTCTGGGTCTTCGCCATGTCTCACCTCCATGTGTGTCTGTGTCCAAGTGCCCCCTTTCCCTAAGAATGCCAGTCATATTGGACTAGGAGCCCACCCTACTCCAGTATGACCTCATCCTAACTAATTACATCTGCAATGACCCTATTTCCAGAAAAGGTCACATTTGGAGGTACTGGGGGCTAAGACTACAGCATATGAATTTTGGGAAGACGCCATTCAATCTGCAACAGCTGCTTGCATGCTAAGAAGGCAGAGTTGAGTGGCTGTGACTGAGACCAAGCAGTCTGCAAGGTCTAAAGTTGTCACTTTTCAGGAAAAGTTTGCTGACACCTGCTATAGGTTTTGACAGGGAGAAGATTCAAAAATATATTCTTAAATGAAAAGGACTACAATAGTACCTTTTGGAAAATTATCTCATTTGAAAACATCTATGTGCAAATATGAGAAAGACAAAGAATATACATCACAGTATTGATAGTGGTGATCCCGGAAGATCGGCACTTTGAGCAATTCTTCTTTTCTTTTAACTTGTGTTTCCTAATGTTTCTATTATAAACATATATTATTTTTGCAATTATAAAACCAAAAAATTTATGCCAGCATAATGTATAAAAGCTAGACTGCCACGTTGTCTTTGTAAGCATGGGGTAGAAATGAATTTCCACACAGTATTTATTCCAACTTCTAGTGCGCTTCCCTGTACTGCGGAGGCTGGAAATCCGAAAACCACATTTTTTGGACTCCCTTGGGGTTCTGGGTGCAAAATAGATTCTGCCAGTAGACGGACCTGCATGGGAAGAAAGCCATCATCTTGCAGTTTTGCCCCTCTCTGCTGGGGGCGTTCAGCTCTAGCTCGGAGCTAAGAGGGGGTTGGGCAGAGGCTGTCTCCCCCTTGGATTGCAGCTAGAGCAAAAGTTCTTGGGGTCAACAACTTTCTGATTCCCTGCATTCCTGATATCATGGAGGCTGCTACCCCTTGACAGGCCAGTTCTGCAGTGCTGCTCATTTTTCTAGAAATTATTCCAGGACACATAGCCCAAAGGCAGGCTTTCCAGCTATTTTACAATTAGATAAATCTTCCTGTGCCTAAAATAGCTGATTTATTGTTTCCATGACAGAACCACAACTGACATAAGGGTTCATGAGCAATTTGGGGACCAGCTTGTGCTAAAGGAAATTTTCTCCTGAAAATACATTTTCTTTGACAAGTTGAATGAAAATTATTCAGAGGCATCGATGTTTCAAGTTGCTTGGACTCCATCTGAATTGCAGAATGAAGAGTAGAAATAATTGGAACCATTCTGCCAAATCTAAAATACAGCTCAGATCCCCTAAGTATAAATGCAACAAGGTCAGAGATCTCCTCACTTTTATGAAGATGTGCAAATAGAATCTGGCTTTAAACTTTTTCTACAGCGGATCTACTTTCTCCATGAGCCTTACTTATCTCTAGGGGATTTGAGGAGGAATGGTGAGGGGCAGGATTCAATCTGCCTGTTTGTGAAATTTCAGCCTGATGAACACTTTTTCATTCTGGTAGCAGCTCAGTCTTTCCGATTCCTCCCGTTTCTCCATAGTATCTGGGTGCACAGGGTCATGTGGCCTGGTTGTGGTGCATCCCTCTGCCTCTGGTTTCCCATATGAAGTGGCTAGTCTGGCCTCGTCCTTAGACTGAGGACTACCGAGGACCACTGGTCCCATCTTGGGGGTGGGCCACCATGTTCTTACCCACTGGTTGAGCCTATGACTCCAGTCCTTGCCTCTGGTCACAAATCCCCCTTCACAGTAGCTTCTTTCTTCTTCCTTGAGGCCCCCGTGGGTCTGCTGGTCTTCCCAGGACACTCCCAGCCCCACTGTAGGATATCCAGATCCCTGGCATGCGCACAGGAGGCTATGGGGACAGGAGCCTGCCCCAGGCCCAAGAACCCAGTCATGCCCTCTGCCCGGGGCCCACGCTGCCATGTTGATATGGAGTCCACGAGGATGTGGGCTCTTCCTGGCCTCCCAAATAGAGCCCAGGCAAATACTCCTCTGCTGTCAGCTTTCCTCTGAACACATCTAACCTGGATCCATGCTGAGGTTTCATTCTTGGAGAGGGGAGGCCAGGGCATATGTAACTGTTTCTCTTGGGTTCCCATCTATTTGAATGGAAGGGTGATGTTTTCACTTCTTCTCAGTTAGGGAATTTCTCCATGTCATAATCTACTCCCTTCCAAATAGCTCAAACAAGACACCTGACAGTCAGGCAGGACTTTGTAGAGGAAGGTAACATGGCTAGGAGGAGACACTCAGATGGTTATAGTGGGTGAGTCAGAAAGGGGAAGCTGGGGCAGAAGAGTCCCAGAGGGAGGTTGTAGGAAAGTTGGTTTTGAGTTACCATCCTTTGGCAAACAGAACAGTTCAGGGTAGTATTTGGAGGGCAGGCTTGGAACCTGCCCACTTACTAGCTTTGTGACCTTGGGCAAGCTACATAACCTGCCCAAGGCTCAACTTTCTTATTTGTAAAGTGGGGATCATAATGGCACTTACCTCAGTGATTTGCTGTGTTATAGGAAATAATGCCTGTGAAGGCACAGCAGGCACTGGGCTCAGGCTGATGCACAGCTTGGCTGCCATAACCAAGGCTGTCATAAAACTCTCAAATACTACTGTTGTGAGTACTAAGAGGGAAAACCAGCTGTAAGTACTACCCACATGTAAGTTGTTACTTGTTGTATGATGTAAGTTGGCGAGTTTGGAAGAAGTTGGAGGGTACAACCTCGTCTTCACTGTGAGGCATGCATGAAGTATGAGTGGATATGGACAAGGAACTGGAAGTGGAAAGTGATAGAGAGGGAGTCCCAGAAGAACCGAAAATGAGTCCAGAGAAACAAGAAGAAACCAGTCAAGGTGATGTCAATGGTAAGTGGGAGGGAGGAGGGCCAGCTTAGGGACCTACATGCTTAGGGAGAAGGCAGCAGGATTGAAGCAGAGAAAAGTTGTCATTTTAAAAAGGACAACTCTATATAAAGGTAGGTGTAATCACATGCTGCCTGGCCTTCTGTTGAATGTGATTATTCAAGTTGATAAATCATTCATAAAACTACATTTGTGGGCTCTAAGAATGACATTTGTCTTCCCTGGATTATGTGATAAGAATTTTTTTTGTTTCTTCTTTTGCATTTTATTTATTTATTTGTTTGTTTGTTTGTTCAGAAAGTGCATTATTACAGGGTCTGTCCAGCCATGTGACTCCGTTGGTACCAGAATTCTTGGACCCAGCACGTATCCAAGAGAAGGCATTGGCCCATGAGGTAAACAACATACAGCACATGCCTGCAGAGGAGTCCAGAGGTCCACAGCCCAAGGACATAGTCCCCCCTGTATGGGGCGGTAGCATCTCCAATTCCTCAGCAAAAACCATACAGCCCAAGCAGGCTGACATCCCCAGTTTTTCAGCAAAACCCATCCTGCCCAAGCAGGCTGATACTCCAAGTTTGTCAGCAAGAACAATCCCACCCAAGCAGGCTGACACCCCCAACTCCCCAGAAAAAATTATCCCACTCAAGCAGACTGACATCTTCAATTTCTCAGCAAAACGCCTATCACCGAAGCAGGCTGACACCTCCAGTTTTTTAACAAAAATCATCCCACCTAAGCAGGGTGATACCTCCAATTCCCCAACTAAAACCACCCCATACAAACAGACTGATATCCTCAATTCCCCAGCCAAAACCATCCTACCCAAGGAGGCTGACACCCCCAATTTTTCAGCAAGAACTATCCCCCCCAAGCAGGCTGACACCCCCAATTTTTCAGCAAAAATCATCCCATCCAAGCAGGCTGACACCCTCCATTCTTTAGAAAAAATTATCCCACCCAAGCAAGATGACATCCCCAATTCCTCAGAAAAAATCACCCTGCCAAAGGAAGATGGCACATCTGCTTCTTCAGAAAAGAACATCCCACCCAAGCAGGGTGACACCAATTCCTCAGTAAAATCCATCCTGCCTAAGCAGGGCAATAACCCCAAGTTCTTAGCAAAATCCATTCTGCCCAAAGGGGCCAACACCCCCAAGTTGTCAGCAAAAGCTTTCCAGTCTAAGCAGGTCAACAGCCCCAAGGTCTTAGCAAAAACCATCCGGTCCAAGCACAGCCACACTTCCAAGTCTTCAGAGGAAAGCCTCCTGCCCAGAGAGGGTGACACCAAATCCTCAGAAGATACCATCCACCCCAAGGAGGGTGACATCCTCAAGTCCTCAAAAGAAACCATTCAGTCCAAGGAGGGTGACATTCCCAAGTCGTCAGAAGAAGCCATCCATCCCATAGAAGGCAGTGTCCAGAAGCCATCAGAGACAATGGAACTCTTGGAGGTGGACTTGGTGAAAGTGATCCTGAGCAAGGAGGACTTTGAGTTGGCGCTCAAGGAGGCCGGGGAGAAGCTGGTAGCCGTGGACTTCTCAGCCACCTGGTGTGGGCCTTGCAGGACCATCAGGCCCCTTTTCCAGTCCCTGTCCTTGAAGTATGAGGATGTGGTGTTCCTGGAAGTGGATGCTGATGAGTGTGAGGAGCTGGTGAGAGACCTGGAGATCATTTGCATCCCAACCTTTCAGTTTTATAAAAAAGAAGAAAAGGTGGGAGAATTTTGTGGTGCTGTTAAAGAAAAACTCGAAGCAAGCATTGCAGAATTAAAGTAATTGTGAATTCTGAAAGCAGTGTTAACAGTCAGCTGGTTATAGTTTGTGATTTTTTTATTTATGTAAAGAGATGAGACATAATGAAAATGTATGTCTGAATGACACCTGCTCATAAATGATGAAGTGTTAACTCCACTTTTTCAAAAAGTAGTAAAAGCATGAAAGCATGTTGTGACCATGCTTTCGTTGGTAGGAAAGTGTGATATTAGAATTTCCTTTGGTGGAGATTGGGAGTCTACCTGTCTCCTATTTTTTTGATCATGATTTTTTTGGAACTCACCCTTGAAAATTCAGTTCATTTTGTGTTAGTGGCAACATTGGAAATTCAGACAATTCTTCTGTAGAAGTACATGATTTTAAGATGAGTGGAGACTTCTTTTCTCATTTGGGGTTTCTGATAAGATGCTTTGGGAAATAAAGAATTTGAAAGGTTCACATATCCTACCTAACCTCCTCTAAGTGCGGGGAGTGCTACGGAGGCCTCAGGAAATCCCATGGGCTCACCAAGCCTGCATGGGATTCTTTGGTGGTAGAGTCAAGACCAAAACCATGTTCCCAGATCTCAAGTGCAGCAGGCCTCTTTCTACTAATCATGCCCACAAAATCCGAGACAGACCTCCCAGCTTCTGGTTTCTCATACCAAGAGCTTTACTATTCAAGTCAAAGTCAGGGTGATCTTCAATGCCATTATGACATCAGCTCACTGGTGACAGAGTTTGTACTTTGTCTCCTGGTAACTGGATTTCTGAAACCTGCTCCCACATGTCTCAGAGCCCAGAGGCCCAGGTCTGGGTCACAGATGGTAGCTTGCTCCAGAGTTTTTGTGTTTTAAGAAAATGTGATACACACACATATAACAGCATGTATTTAATGTATACAATTTGATGAATTTGGGCACATGCATACACCCATGACATCATTAACACAGTCGAGGTAATAAACATACCCCTCACCTCCAGAGTTTCCTTGTGTGTCCTCTTTTTTCTTATTGTGGTGGCGGCGGCGGTGGTAAGAGCACTTAACAGGAGATCTAACCTCTTAACCACATTTTAAATGCACAATACTATGTTGTTAATGACAGGCGCTCTGTTGTACAGCAAATCTCTAGAACTTATCCATTCTGGAGAACGGAAACTTCTACCCAGTGAGCAACAACTCCTCATGTCTCCCCCTATTCCTCGTCAGCCACCATCCTGTCTTCTGCTGGTCCAGAGTCTTTTAAAGAACTTGAACCAGTTGTTAACATTTCAAAAAACCAGGATTCCCTTTTAAACCTTGAATTCTAGCTTTTCTTGAAAAATTGTAAAATCTGGCAATCTGGGCTTGGGTTCCCTCAGGAAACCAATCTAATCGTAGAGGCTGAGTGACACTGCTTCCCAATGGTGATGAGGAACCTGTCTGGCTTCTTTTATGTGGCTGAGTTGCAATCCCTATCTAAGTTAACCGCAGGAGGGGGCTGCCCCAGCAACTCCCACTCTGTGCACTATCTCAGTCGCAGACCTTATCTGAGCCATGAAAAATAACCACCTAACAATAGAAACAAAATGCCATGCATACCTAGACTTTTTTCCAAAAACATTTGGAATGACCTACATAAAGTATTAATGATAAGGCTAACAAATTCATGAAAATGAATAAGATGTCAACTGGGGCTCATATAATCACTCTGTCTGAGTGGCACATTTTGTTCTGAGCTTCTTAGCAGTGTGGATGGGGTGGGGGTGAGAAAAGGCAAACTCAATAATACCCAGATTTCATTACCCCAAAGGAGAAAACACTGGAATTTGAAAAATGAGTCAATGATTTCCCATAACTAAATTTTTGAATGAAAATTTTCATCTGGGAACCTCTGGATGAGGTTCTTGACAGTATTTTTTATAAGAAATTCAGAAACAATTCTCATATAGCTATTTCTGATAATAATCGCTCATAAAAGCCAAAGCTATGATCATAAACCACTTTTCAATGAGAGGATTTGGGATTAGGGTGTACAAGCACAAAGCTTTTGATTTTCATATAAAGGGACTTCTATTAATGATCCATATATCTATTCTTTTCTTCTGGTAGAGAGACCTTCCTCTGACTTTTTTCACTCAGATGTGTTCTTGTTTTCCATATTGAACAGGTTGGTTTTAATGTAACTTTATCTGCTCAGACATTTAGGAATTAATTCAACCCCTCTGCTACCAGAGCCCCTTTTGGACAACCTAGCCCTGCAACAATTTAGACTGTGTAATTTGGAGGACCAGGGACCCCCAAATCTAACATTAATGAGTTACACCAACAACTATTTCTGGAACTGTAGTATTGCAGGTTTGTTGTTTATTTTTAATCATAGGTCTTTATGTTTAGGTTACTAAGTGATGACATGGACAATGACCTAAAGAAAACCCTTGAAAATAGTTGTGATAGATTTTCCAGGTGGTTTTAAACCATTCCCAATGCAAATCGAGGGAGGATGGCAGAGCACAACCCTGCAAAGTCAACTCTGCAGGGTCAACACAGTGCAGAGCAAGTGGGGGCTCTCTGACATTCTAATTTATCCCTCCAGATGCAGGGATAAAATCTAAACTACCAGAGAATCAATTCATGTCCTTCAGACTACTCACCTTAAGCATGATTTCTCTGGACTGTTTGGATAATAGTTAAACAGTAACCAGCTCAAAGCTATGTTCTCTGGCACAAAGCTTGAGTATGGATGTTCTGTTTTGCTAATTAAGAATCATGCACTTAAAAAAAATGAACCAAGCAATTGTCATCACCTCTACTCTTGAGCATGAAGGAGAAATAAGAAGCATTTCTAATGAGAAAGAAGATTCCGGATAATCATATTGGCTGTGCGTGATGACAATCTAACTAGAGCCCTAACAAGAATCAGTGGAAAACCTGTTTGCTTTGATAAGAAAACTCAACAACGGCGCCTGGGTAGCTCAGTCAGTTAAGTGTCTGACTCTTTATTTCGGCTCAGGTCATGATCTCAGGGTCATAGCATGGAGGCTGCTTAAGAGTCTCTCTCTCCCTCTCTCTTTGCCCCCCCTCCCCCTGCATGCGTGCTCTCTCTTTCTCTCTCAAAAAAACCAAACCAAACCAAACCAAAACTCAACAAAGTGGCAGTATTCCAAGTTATCTCCAAAAATTCAATAGCTTCCTTTTGATTCAATGATAAGTGACTGGGAATCATTATGGAAAAAGGCCTCATTTACAATAGTGACAAAAAGAAAAATAAAACACCTGGCAATAGTCCTAACAAGAACAGTAAGGATTTTTAGGACTAACTCTGAACACTTTGAGACAATACAAGTAGATTTGAATAAAGTGAGACACAGTCCATTTTCCACATTGGAAAGAAAGATTGAAAAATGTTGAGTCTTTTCACTTGATTAGACTTAATGTGATCCCAACCAATATCTCATTGAGATTGTTGGGAGAACCTGACAAAATACTTAAAAATTCAAGAATAGATAGGAAAAAGTTTTAAGAAGTAATGAAGAGAAATTTGCCCTATCAGATAGTAAAATGTGTAAGTAGTACAGTAATTGTACAGTAAGTGTAGGGATACCAATAGAAGTACTGATGAAGAAAGAAAAGAGAGTAAGGAGACATAATAGTAACCAAAATCAGACTACAGTATATAAGTAGTAATATATTAATAAAGAAATGTTTCAATTTGATCAAATGTGAGTGGGTAATTAAAAAAAAATTGTTAAACATTAGGTTTCTAGGGACACCTGGGTGGCTCAGTCTGCCTTAAGCTCAGGTCATGATCCCCAAGGTCCTGGGATCGAGCCCCACATTGGGCTCCCTGCTCTGCGGGGAGCCCACTTCTCTCTCTCTCTCCCTCTGTCGCTCTTCTTGCTTGTGATCATGCTCTCTCTCTCTCTCTCTGTCAAATAAATAAATAAATAAATCTTGAAAAAACTACTCACATTAGGTTTCTAGGCCTCCATACTTGAAAAATCAGTTTCAGTAGTTGTGGATGGAGTCCAGGAATCTCTCCCCTTTGTTCAAGTTCAGCCACCCTGCCCCCACCACCCCCAACAAGCTCCCATCCTGTGTGCACTGTAGTCCCTAAACATGCTTCCTCTGGACAATTACTCTCCTGCAGAGCATCACTTTAATCTAATGCCCACTCATCTCCCCAGAAACCCACAGCCCTAGCCCATGAGGGTTGTCTTATCCCCAGATTGATCCCCTTCCCACAGCATTTCCTTCCTGAGGCTCAGTTACTCAGTGTGGAAAACCACTGCTAGAGAGAAAGGGCTGCCCCGTCAGTTGGGGGTGAGGTGGGGGGGTCTTTGCTGTCCAGGTTCCATATAAGAGGCTAGGGCTTGAGTGGGTTCAGTCTCCTTTGAAATTTCCCCCTTGGTAGGAATCCTTATTAGCATGCCCCTTATTTTTCTGATAATCCAGAACATTACTGTTGGAACAAACATGTTTCCACAACATAATCCCACCTCAGTGATTAAATTGCCTAACCCCATAAGGACCTTCCTCCCATAGGAACCTCTTCCTGTTCCTATAATTTGCAAGGCTGCCTCTTTTCACATTATTACATGGAGCATCCTTCCTTTGTACTCTCTCTCTCTCTCTCTAAGATTGGTTCCACAGGCCTAACAGGAATAAGAAAATAGGTTCATTGCCGAGTCATGGTTACAGGGTTTTATAAGATAAACTGAGGCATATTAAAATTTTTTATGAGTTTATTTGAGCAAAAATTGATTCCAACAGGGAAGTGCCAAACCGGAAATGGTTAGATGCACTCTGCCAACAAGAGCCAGAGGAAGACTTGGTGTAGAGAAGGTGTGCGAGCAGAGAAAAGACATTATTTGATTGGCTGTAGCTTCAAGCCTAGTTGGCTGTTTGTGATTGGCTGTCTTTAGGTTTTGATTTCTTAACCTTGAGGCATTTACAGGCTTAGATTTGGGTTTGTTTACGGTTCCACCAAGCCTTAGAGCCACCTCAGGCTAAAGTCCTCCTTAATTAATTTAATGAAAACTAGAACTCAGCCCACCGAATTCTAGAGCAGAGGTGTGAGGGTGCTTGTTAAATGCCTCTTAAGAGACTGGACAAGTTGGTTGAGTTTCTGCCTTCCGGCTCAGGTCATTATCCCAGGGTCCTGGGATCGAGCCCCACATCAGGCTCTCTGCTCTGTGGGGAGCCTGCTTCTCCCTCTGCCTGCCGCTCCCCCTGCTTGTGCTCTCTCTCTCATTCTCTCTGTCAAATAAATAAATTAAAAAATGGATGGCCTTCCTTCTCCTCGTCAATGGAAGAGCAGGCGGGAATGAAAAGAGTGGTTTGCTCTTCTGGATTCAATGACCAGGAAAAAAAAAAGGAGTAAAAAGATCAAAATACTAAAAACAGAATGATTCTTATTTTCTGTAAAAATTGAATAAAGTATTGTTGTTGGCTCTCTATGTATGGATGTTTTTTCTTTCGTTCTATTCTTGTTTTTTTGTTTTTGCTGCTTACACAGACAGTGAAAAGAAAAAGCAGTTAATGAAATGCTTTGGAAACCCCAGCTGCTAAAACAGAATCTGGGAGGACTGAAATAAGAAGGAGTAAGCATATGGCCCAAGGTCAAGGATGCTCTGGCCAAGTCTTCAAATGCAGAACTTCGCCTGAGGCTTTGTGTTCTGGTTGAGCATTCTGGGCCTTCCTGGCTTTGTGTTACAAACAGTCTTAGAGACGAAATCCCCTAAGTTCTTCTGCTTGGAGATGAAGTGCCTAAGTGGTTGAGGAAGCCATAGGGAAGGTGGTATATTTGTGTTTTGGTGGCAAGTGACAGAGACGCAACTCAAACCTGGTCCAGCAAATATGGAGAATGTGTTGGATCTTGAAACTGGAAATTCTAAGGGGACAAAGTGTTTCATGGGTACGTGGAGGTTCAAACAACATCAACAAGACACTGATGTTTTCCACCTCTCAACTCAGCTACCCACCACACCCTCTCTAAAAAAA